CACTACTTGTATATATTGCATACACCATGGACACATAACAGCTCTACTCATATTGGGTTTTATTCCGTTTCTATTACATCTATTACCTCAGTTTTGTGATTTCTTTGATTTCTGTGATTTCTGTGATTCTTGTGAGCTCGCAGAAAAGACTTTTCATTGCCAGCAACTACTGCTGCACGCTGTATTGTTGTGCTTTGATAAATACACTTTGATTGCTCGATTGATTGATTGATATTGATGGCAGACGGAGTAATTAGAAGTACAGGTGCAATTCCTGCCTGGCGGGCCTGTGATGGCTTCAGCGCGGAGATAAAGACCTTCAATTTCCCCAGCTATCAACCCGGCCGCCTTTGACGTGCCGCCAGCCAGCGAGGCAAGCAACGGCGGTATTGAAGCAGAGCTCGGACACAGACGGGACAGCTCCGCGGACCCGCGCGAAGCGCAGCAGCTGATCTCCGTTTCAGATCCCTGCCCTCCGCCTCCTGCCGCAGAGAAACGACCCCGAATCATCAAAGGGAGCAGAAACTCTGAGGGCCGACTCCGTCTCTGTCTCCCGGGGTGTGGGATTTCAGACTGGCAGCCAGCCCTGGCCCAGGGCCTCCAGCGGCGCGCCTCTCTCTCTCTCTGCCCATCTGTCCACAGCAGGCCGAGCTTACTTCACCTTTCTCAAGTCTTCTCGAAGAGCGTTTAGCGCGCCTGCGGCTCTCGGCGTGCAGTACTGCCCATTTATTTAAAAATAAACAGAGTTTAACGACAGGAAATTGATTCCAGTTGTCAGATCACGTATACGCATACCTTAGCTTTGTGCAACAACCTGAAACTTTCAGGTACCATAAATAATATTATTGTAGGGAAGCAGGCGTAGGGAAGCAGGCGGAAGGCTCTCGCGTGCCGCGGCGGTCAGCTGGCGTGTGGCAGAGCAACACACTGGCAAGGGGCAAGCAGTCCTTTGGAGAAAATAGAAACTAACATGGATTGCTCTACTGTATAGCGCTGGAAATCAAGAGGAAGGCAGCAAACCTGCAGTGCTCTTCTGTTTCGTGTGCATGGTCTCCAAGGCTCTGATGCTGTTGCCACACCAAGGAGAGGAAAGAATGACTTCTGGAGGGACAGGGGCTGTGCCTTGTGCTCTTTTCCAAAGATCCTTCTCTCAAGCTTTTCTTCTTGCTGAGTAGGTGGCATCTGATGTAGGTTTTAAACCCGGCAGTTATTGATAATTGTGTGCACACACAGTGATCCAGCCTTAATGCCACACAAGAAAGCCTGCAGACAGGCTTCTTTTTCAAGTTCAGAAAGGTTCCTTAGGGAGTACAGGGACTAGAGATGCCTGCCCTGAGGGAGGATCGAGCTCCAGGAATCAGACATTGTCTCTTCACCCTCCGCTGGCTGTCAGAAGGACGTCCCAAGCGGCCAAGCCCTGGACTGCATTCCTCAGCCTAGATCGCCTGGTTTTTTTGTTGAAATAGC